CACCAGACCAGCTCTCCAAGAAGTTCTGAATGGAGTGCTGTACCAGGAAAACTCAAGACAGACACAGAAATAAGAGAACAAAAACAACCAAGAGAATGGCCAACTTAATGTCAGGGATAAATCGGCGTTCAATGTTAACTTCCAGAATTTAAACAGAAAGATGAGACCACAACAGAAGAGAGGTTAATTACATGAGACGGAACTGGTTAAATAGAATTTTGTATCTTTTGACTAAAACATTCCTGATTTTCTTCTATCTGTGTTTTCCAGATTTAAGGATTTTTGTCTTCTCTTGAGCTGTCAATAGGTTCATCTACCTCCTATTTGAACAGAATCCTAACCTTTTTCCTGGCTTTAAGTCTTAAGCAAATTTTTCTTAACATTTTTTTATTTTGATTTATTAAAGCTAAAACAGCATTTCTTAAAATTAAAAAACATATTTAAAAAAATATCTATTGAATGACCGCAGTGAACTATATAGCTTCAGCTAGCTACTTTATAGTATGTCCATTCTACTCACTGAGTTTTATGCCTAAAAGCAGACATGTGTTCACAGATATGTACATATCAGCTAAACTTGCAAAAGTATTTAGATTAATTAAGATATTTTGTTATGGGGGACCAGCAGGTGGTATGGTGGTTAAGGTGCTGGACGCTCCCATATGGCCGACCATGGTTCAAGTCCCAGACCTGGTGGCCTGCTTTCTTACTTTCCATCTCTCTCTCTCTTTCTCTCTTTCTCTCTCTCTCTCTCTTTCTCTCTCTCTCTCTTTCTCTCTCTCTCTCTGGTCAATTTAAAATAAATGAATGAATAAAATTAAATAAATAATTATTTTTTTTAATTTTTAAAAAGCAAAATATGTATCATTTTATATTTATAACTATAACGATAACACATATGGTAATTTATTTGAGCCAACATACAGTGCATTCTGGATGGGAAATCACATTTTGTATGCTGTGATGATGCACAGTGAATGAATGTAAAATAAATAAATTTAACATAAATACAAAATAAATAAAGAGGGAGAAGCTAGTTTTTAAATTATTTTTTAGTGTCGGAGGATGTGTGCACATGCATGTGTACATGGACATGTGCACACAAAGAACTGCCCAATGAGACCTGGTCACTCTGCAGTCCTTTGTCTCCATGCCGCCGGCCCATCAGGATCTTGGGCACACATGCATGTGCTTAGTGTGTTTTTCAAGCCACTGAGGCCAGGACTCAAATCACAGTCAGCCCTGAAACACCCAACACTTTCTGCACAGCACATAAATACTATACTACAAGGCCAGCCCGCTAGTTAGACCTGAATCTGTTTTCCTAAGTATTTTTGTTCCTGTTTGGTGCCTCTGTTGGTTCTTGCTCATAATATCTCATTTCTTTATGCCCGATTATCTTTGACAATATTCTGGACATCATATTAGTGGAAAACATAGAGGCAAGAAAGATTGAGAGGTACTAAAACGTTCAGGAGGTGAGGCCTACTGAACAGTGTTTGGATCATGAGGACATTTCCCTCATAAGTGGATTAACGCAGTCTTGCAGGAGGGCGTGAGTTCTTGCTCTGGGAGGAATCAGTTGGCTCCCATAAGGCGAGGGTTGTTATTAAGGAGCTCCCGCAGGTCACACTTTGCATGCACCCGCTGATCCTTCTGCTTCTCTCGCCACGGTGTGCCATCAGTGCTATGCATTTGGAGTTTCCGCCACTGGGATTATTTTGAGGCCTGTACTAACAGCATCTTCCTCCAGACAGGAGTGATTCTGCTCACCCGACTCCACATTTAAGGAGTGAGGCTGGGTGGAACACCCAGGTGTCAAGAAGACCAGCTGTTGGGAACCAGCAGTTAGCGTAATGGCTATGTCGCTGGACTCCCACGTAGTCGACCGTGGTTCGTGTCCCGGACCCGGTGGCTTAAAACTCACGCCGGGCGCCTGTGCGTGCGTGCCCAAGATCCCGAGAGGAGAATGGAGGAGAGGGGATTGCGGCGTGACCATCCCCCCTGGGGGGTGATTTCTCGCTTTCTGTCTCTATGTTTCTCTCTGTCTGTCTGGCAAGCGCACGCGCCCTACAGTGAAAAATCT